TTTTTTTTGTTCATAAGCCTCTTTCTCCCCCCATTTCCCTTGTAGCATTCAAATTGATTTTTTTTTTAATTTTCCAATAGTCACCGTTTTTATATTTTTAATTCGAAAATATTTTGATTTTTTTATCATCTATAAATACGAATTTAATATTCGATTCAATTATCACGAAACTTTTATTTCTTCTATTACTTCATTTCAAAAATATTACTTCAAATTTTATTATTTTTATTTTAAACAAGCATTCCCTTCGATTTTTTTGTGAATTACATCATAATTTTAGTTTTTGTTAAATTAAATAAAATAGATAAATGACAGTACTAAAAATAAGTTATTTTTAAAGTAATCTTATTATGGTCAAATTTCTACTCGAATGGTAGGACTCGATGAGTCGAGTTCAACGGCGTATTCGCGCATGCATCCGAGTTACAAATCACCGGGATTTGACCGTCCCAAGACCGAAAAGATAATAAAGAAAATGAATAAAATATAAGTATGTCAAAAAGTCAAATATATATTCAATATTGAAGTCGTTGGGTAGATTTCATGAATAGCTATCCAACAAAATATTAATTGCACTATTTAGAGTTGTGTAGTTTTTTTGTCTTTGACTGCGCACAGATAGGAATCAATGAATTGATGAATAGTCCAGTGGTCAGTGATGCCATGCGAAGTGGATGATCCAAAGCTGTTTGAATTTGAATTAATTACTCTTTAACTTTATTTTATTTAAATTGCAAGAATTATTTTAAAGGCTTCCGCAACGTTTGATTTGTTTACTAAGAATAACTTATATTTATTTTAAATGTATATGATCGGATGTATTATTTTAAATGTTTTAAAATATTGGGTACGTGAGTACCAAATTAGTAGCGATCCGATTCTTCAAAAAAAGTAGCAATCGGATTTGCTAATTCATTGGTTCGGGTAACACAGAATGGAATGTTTCAAAAGAAGAAATGGTTGAAGTTCTCAACCAATTTGGATTCTCCTCATATTGATCAAACCACAAGCCACCACACTGCTACTTCCTCAGCCTAAATCTCAGCTAGCTTCTTCATTAAAAGCATCACCATTGTTCCCGTTAAAAGCATCACTAGTCGATTTTCTTGAATTGTGTCATCCACTCCTCCGTTTTATAACAATTGCCGCCGCCACAATTTTCTATTAAGGGTTTTTCTTCCGTGCCTTTTAAAATCTATGGGCATGCATGCCCCTCCAATCAAAATTCAACACATGGACTAATATCAATTATGCTCTCATGTAGTTCAACAATTGCTCGGTGTCACTCTAATTTTCTAAAATTGTGAATTGGCCCATATTACCTCCCTTCCATAAGTACAAAGTACAAAGTGTCCCACATCTTTTACTCCTATTTTTTAATCGCTCCACTCCACTAATACAGAGTTAAATCGTGTTAATTCAACACTAATTCTTTTACTCAATTAACATATGTCATACTCCACTGGCACTAGCGGTAGTGATCATGCAATTATTATTTTTATATTTATCTATTTTAATTATTAAATTCCATCCTTTAAAATTAAAATAAATAAATAAATTCAATTTTTACTTTTATTTTAATTTTGCAATTTTTTTGTTGAAATTTCTTCGGCCAAACCTTTTTTTGTTATTTTTGTTTTTGTTTTTTCTTTTTTTTCCAAACCATTTTTTGGTTTTAATTTTTTTCTTTTACCTTTTTTATAGTATAACACAAAAGGGTAAATTTTATAATTAATCCTTTCTAGCAGAAGATTTTCCATATTTAGTCTTCTATTATCAAATATTATGTTTGTGGTCCTTTTTTGGATTTCTTACCACGGATATTCTTTTTTTGATCTTGTATTAGGTTGGTGTTAAATTGAAGGCTAAAAATATAATTTCACAATGATCATATACTCCGTATCATTCTTGTCATAGTCAATGCCAGAATTCACTCATGATGTCTTTTTTGCCAACTAGAATCATTGTTTACTATAACTACAGTCTACGGATGTTATCTTTAACCAGAATCCTAGTTCATAATTAGTCGCTATTGTTGTACACATTGTGTGTCAAGTCAACATCAAAATATGTCACTACACATAAAGTCGATGTGAAATTAACTTTTAGCCCTAGTTTAACACCAACAGGGCAAAAGGTAAAAAAACTATTAATGAAAAGGTACATATAAAAGAAGAATCACAATAATATTTGATAAACATGAACTAAATATGAAAACCATCTAGTTATAAAAGAGCACTTATAGAATTAAATTAACAAGAAACAAAACATAAACATAAACTTGTTAAATTTAAAATTAAAGGAAAACAGTGGACTAGTATAATTTGAAATTAAAACGTGTTTCAATTCCTTCTAAAGTATAATACTCATAGTAATACAACACAATTCATTCAATTCAGAATAGTGTGGGTAAAAAAGACATAACGTCAAAAATTTATGTGCAATATTAGTGGAGTTATAAGTTTTATTTTCTAATTCCACACCATTTTTCATATAAAATCTATTAAAAATAATTTCAACCAAACATTTTAATACACCCAGAAGAGAAAAATTATGGAAAAAATTATAACCTTTGACCTATAATCAAATAAATATATATTGTATACTAATTAGATAAAGTAATATGTTAAAAATATTTATATAATAAATTTAATAAAACTATTTTTGTATCAATATTTAATATTATTGGCGAAAAAGAAAGCCAAAAGAGGATATTGGCGAATTTGTAATTTTAGAAAATTTAGAAAATTAGTGACACAAAACTTTAGTTACTCGGTTACTCTTACTCCACATGGCAGCTTAATTGAATATTGATATCAATCCACATGTCAAATTTTGAGTGGAAGGGCATCCATGCCCATCCAATTTTAAGGGTATGGAAGAAAAACCCTTCTATTAATTGTTCATAGTGTCAAATAAAGACATAATTTCAAAAAAATGACAACAGAATGACAACATCTACTGCCACACAAAATTTATATTGATGTCCCTATCGCCGCCGTCATCATTGTCATCATCACGCCACCGCTACAATCTCTCGCTACCATCGCCACTAGGTGCTGCCGCCATCTACGTTGTTGTTGCCATCGACACCACCAAGGTCAGTCACTATTGTCGTTGCAGTGACATGATGCCAGAGTGGCCCTTAATACAATGCCAATCGAAATTGCAATGGCAAATGTGACAAATTTGCTGCATACTGCCAAACATATCAATGTATAATGATTCAATGAAGATAAAATGCCAAGAAATACTGTGATTTGCCCCCTTGGGCATGATACTGACTCTGATGGCATGAATAGCATGGAGTTGTCCTTAAATAGCCCCACAAGATAAGTCTGAGAAACGTCTTGAAGTCCCAACCAATTCATGTCTTGAAGCATATGGGATTCTTGGCTAATTACGAGGAACAAACTAAGGTCACACCGTTGGTTAGATCACTAACCCAAGAGCCTATCCTACCACCCCTATCCTAGACATCCACACACTCCTATCTTAGGTCACACCGTTGGTTAGACCATGAAAATGTAAGTCATGACTAATAACCTCTTTCCAACTCTTCATAAGTCGACCTCTATCCCTCTTAACGTCCCCTGACGGATGCCTCTCGTGCTTCCTCACAGGAAAATCCATGCTTCATTTCAGAACATATACAAACCATCTCAATTCAGCTTCACGCAGCGATTCTGATGTGAGATTGCTTATAAGGGCATTTTAAAAAAAAGATATTTAGGAAAGAAAAAAGGTCGTTATTTTTTATACAAAGAAGTTGGAGAAGACTTGCAAAAAATATGCAAATTGCTCAGTAAATTAGAACTCCAAAATGGAGCCATTCCATTTCTTTCATAATCTTGAACAACTCCAAGATTACGTGCCTCGCTTACTGTCAAAATACTTGAAGGCAATTGAAGTGTGGATTTATTTACTTTAACAAATAGCACCAAAGCTGTTAAAGTCAAGATCCTAGCTAGAATTGGTGAGGGTTAAGGGGACCTAGCGTAGCAGCTAATATATAAAATTGGTAACATGCACACGTATAACAGCTTAATTTCAAGATAAAGAGCTAGAAATCATATTCATTACATCCAAATAAATTATTATATTAGTCATAAGTTCATAACATCCAAATAAAAACAACTATAGGAGTTCAAAATAAATACGAAGAAGACTACAGAGGTTGGTGTACGCTAAAAGATACGAAGTATAATAATAGAGAAGGGGTAGACACAAAAGAGTGAACTCATAGGAGCGCCAACGCGGACTAATTTCAAAACCCGAGGTCCTCAGAACCTAGAAGGGGTAGACACAGATAAGTTTAGAAACATCAGTGAAGCTATTGTCAATTTGTAAGGTGGGAAAATTGGAAACATTCAGCAGTTTTTAAGCTTTGGAGCGCCACAGGAGTTGTAAAAGGTGCAACACTTTCAGTCTTTTTCAAATTTAATTTTTTGCGTAAAATAACAGGCAACCTGACAATTTAAAGTTTCTTGAATCAGCTCTGAAAGATTGTAACGGTCTGCAATCTGACCATTTTAGTGGGCAACTCACCGATCCTAGGCGAGAACTTTCCAACTGAAGGAGCAATCCAGATCGCGTGGAGGCAAATAAGCCATAGGATTGTGTGATTCTACAAGGCAGATCATGATTTTCACAGCCTTGAATAGCACCACTCTATCCAATCTAATTATCCCTGACCCCCGTATACAAAGTTTAATTAAGTCCTGGATTCCTTTTTTCCATAAGATTATTTTATTTTTTAGCATGAAGTATATCATGTCCTCTAACAAATTATATGCAGTTTAGAAGGGCTGAAGGTTCCTGCTTTCAAAAAGACCAAAACCAATGAAAAAGAATGTGCAATGCCTCAATCACAACCACCGCTAACAGGCAATAAAAATTACTACTAGAATTAAAATAAACTCATACCGTAGTATCCGTAAAATGCAATTAAAGATAATCCGCAATGAATTGAATACAAAATTAAATCAATCAAAACTCACATAGAAACATAAGTCAGGCGAGTGCTTTTTTGCACCTTGCGCCTTAGGCTATAAATGACATCTGCAAACCCTCACATACAAAGTTCAATAAACTCCTGGATTCTTTTTGGAGCATGAAGTATAATGCATTTGGAGCCATAAAATACATTAGAATAATGCAAAATGAAGTGAGTACGTGAACTATAAAATCAATTAAAATCCACACAGATACATAATAGCAGATTTCAATTCAAAGTAAACTTATAGACATACATTTCATGATCATTTCCGTTTCTGCTGCCTTTTGGTGCCGTCATTATCTTCATCTTCGCTATGGCTATCAGAGTTATCATCATCGTCTTCATAATCTGTATCAGAAGGAGGAGAAGGATCAAGCCTCGCGGCATCAACAGCCCACTTGATCAGCTTCTCAACTTGATCGTCCTCATCCAGGTCTTCGACATTCTCCAATTCTACCCTTCCCAACCCGGGGTTGCAACCACTTCCAGCGGAGGAAGAATAAGAAGGGAGGGAGCTCTTGAGCGCAGCGAACCTAGCAAATAGATCATTCTCATCGCCACCATCACCAACTGTTCTGTGGCAATTGACATTATCAGTGGCTGGCGATGCCGTTGGAGCAGACGTATTTGGATGTTTATTAGGGATCGCTGAGCTCTTCGGTCGGGTTTTTAGGGCTTGAAAGCGTCTGTCAAGATCAGGGGCGATGGATTGGGTGGATGATCCTCGGGTAGTGTGTGCATCGACGCTGAGCTGGAGGAGGGTTTCGTCTGCGGCGGCTTGCAGCAGCTCTTCTACCTCGTCGACGGCTTTTGTTGTCTTCTCCCTGCTCATATTTCCCGTATTTCAATTTTCAGGTGGGTTCGCTGGGAACACGGTAATTGGGAAATGATGACGCCCAACTTATATGGTACGGCTGTAGATATCTTTGGGTCGGCTGCTGAAATGAAGCGCAAGGCGATCGTGAACGGTGATGGCGACAATAGAGGCTGCGTCAAATGAGAATGGAGACAGCTGCGTCGATTCGTGATGAGGAGAAAAACCCAGCAGCTTCGATCGGAGATGAGGATGAACACGCGAATCGGATGAACGGAGTTGAATCAGATGAACAGGGAGCGACTGCAACCGGAATCCACAGAATGGAGGCGGTGGCAGCGGCGTTTGAAAAGCATGCCGCAGTGGCAGGGGGTGTGGTTTAGAAGGGCAGGTTCAAATGAATTGAATCTTGATGTGATGACGCTCGGGTGTCCCGTTCGTAAAATTGACGATTCCTACTTCCGGTAAATCTCTCGGTAAACCCCTACCCGGCCCCAACCCGAACACAACCCCTCGCCCCATTCAATTGCACCACACAAGTTGATTTTGCTTTGGAGTCAACACAACCCCCCGCCCCATTCAATTGCACCCCACAAGTTGATTTTGCTTTGGAGTTGACTCCAAAGCAAAATCAACTTGTGGGGTGTAATTGAATGAGGTGGGAGGTTGTGTTCGGGTCGGGGCCGGGTGGGGGTTGAAGTTCCGAAAGTATGCGTCCACTTGGTGGTCCAATCTTTCCACCAAAAGAAGGCGTGAAAACAAGGCTCCGGTTAAAACTTGGTTCAAAATGCGGAGCTTGTTGAAGAAGAAGTTCTTGCCCGAGCAATACGTACGAGACAACTTTGCTAAGCTTCAACACTTAAGGCAAGGTACCCGGTCTGTTGAGGACTATACCCGGGAGTTTGAAGAACTTTTGTTGAGGTGTGACCTTCAAGAAGATGACTCACAAACGTTGGTCCGTTATTTGTTTGGGCTTAACACACAAATCGCCAACGTGGTGGAGTTACAAGCCTACGACACCTTTGAAGAACTTTCCAAACTAGCTCTTAAGGTTGAGTCTCAACTTAAGAGAAGCAAAACCCCTTTTGGCCGTCCCCCTCCCTTCTCAAAAAACACACAAACTACACCCCGTACCACCCCCTATGCCACTGCCCAAAACCCCTCCTCTAAACCCAACTCCATCCCTTCCACTTCCAATAATCCGCCACCCCCAAAAACCACCCTACCCAACACCCGAG